TTTTTTCTTTTTGCTTATGTGGTGCTGAGGAATCGAACCCAGGGCCTCAGGCATGCAAGGCAAGCGTTCTACCACTGAGCCAACTTCCCAGCCCCAATAAAAATTATTATTATTAAAAATAAAATTAAGCAGTATGGGAAAGGCGTTGTGGCAGCTGAGATCCTACCTGACTGCAGATGTTTTCTTCCAGGATCCATGGAAGACAACTTTGCTCCAGCTCCATTGCATAACAATAGTTGTCATTGCAGTGGCCACAGATAGCAAACAGCTACCTGTTTGCTGCTAGCAGTCATCTGTAAACTGATCAACAAAGCCCAGGCACAGCAATGGTTGCCTTAGAGTTTGACTTTGTAGCCCAAGAAAAATACACAGATTCTAGATTCAGTAGTGGAGCCAGCGTGGTGGCTGTGTTTGTAATTCCAGCTAGGGGGGTAGTAACAGAAGGATTGCAAGTTAAAGACTGGCTTAAGCTACATAGAGAGTTATTCTAGGCCAACCTGGTCTACATAGTGAGACTCTGTCTCAAAAAGAGAAAAGGAAAGGAAACTAAGAGAGAGAGAAAATAAAGGAAAGGAAAAAAATTCAAGATATTTTAATTTTTTTGTCCACTGAAAATAATTACACATGAAGAATGAGTAAGCTTGTCTTAGATATAGCTGCAAAAGCCTTGAATATACTGATTTCTGTAATTCAGGGAGCTTGAAAATCTGGGAAAACTTTTTTTTAAATAGTTTCGAGGCTCAGTCTTCCTTTTTTTAGCTCCTCACATTACGTACGGCCGATGCCCTCTACACTGACCTAGCATCCATGTCTGACTGTGAAACTAAATTAACCACCTCTCAAATGGCTGATACTTGTTGCAGGAAGTCCATCTGGCCATGCAATGGGCTCATCGTGTGTCTGGTATGTCATGGTGACAGCTGCCCTTAGCCACACTGTCAGCCGAGTGGACAAGCTCTCCATTACTCTCCACAGGTCAGTCCGACTCCAGCGTCTACAGCACTGGCATGGCAGTTTTAATACATAATATCTTTTTGAAAAATCCTTTTTTTGTATTTTTAGATACTGAATGAAATATTCATAATCTATTCTATCATAGCTAAACTAACAGAATGAATAGAAAATTAATATTTTGCATTAGGATAACATCCTAATTAGCTCACAGCTATTTCCACGTTTATAATAGAATTGGAAATGTTTAAACGATTAATGACTAGTTAAATGTGCCTTTGGGTTTCCAAAATTCAATTATTACTGTGGTAGCTCATAAATAAGTCATAAGGAAACATTTTTCAATGCTCATTTCCTTGCTTTGAGATTAACTGAAGGTTTTAAGAATCATCATCCCACTCAAAACATCAATTTTTAGTGAAAAATCATACTGCCTTGTCTGAATAGCCAATGTTTTTTAGATCAATAACATTCTAGCTTTAAAGATTATATAATGTTTTCAGTTGAAAACATTCTAGAGGCAAACAAATTTTAATGTTAATAGGCTTAATACTAGTAAATTTCTTTCTTCTTGTTCTATTAAGATTACTTATAATTTGTAGGAACCAGGGTTCTTCTTTCTCTTCTTTTCTGAATCCTTTAATTATCATTAAAACAATACTGTGCATTACTTTAGTTAGAAATTATTGGATGACCTTACATAAAATGTGTGGTTATACATATGTGTGTGTGTGTGTGTGAGAGAGAGAGACAGAGACAGAGAAACAGAGAGAGACAGAGACAGAGAAAGACAGAGAGACAGAAAAAGAGAGACAAGACAGGCAGACTAGGGATGTGGCTCAAGTGGTAAATGCTTGCATAGCAAACACAAGCCCCAGAGCTCAAACCCAATAATGGAAGGGGGATTATAGACAGACAGACCAGACAGACAGATGGACTGGCAGACAGAAAGACAGATGTAGATATTTACATATATCTAATATGTAAAATCACATAAAAGTTCTAAAATAAAAATTCAAGATCTATCACATATTCTACTTTGTAGAATAGTGCTGAAAACTAAGAAATCAGCTCCTTTCTCCAATTATTTTAACTTAGAAAAATGTATCTCTTCTAAAAAATTCTTATATCCAATTCCTGATTTCTGTAGCTCCAACATTTTTTTTCAACTGTCTAAACTTAATGAGTACCTAGTCTTTATCTTGACCTTACCGAATCCTACTTGTTTCTTCTTCTACATGGATAGCCTCTGTTTATTTCCTCTTGGAAAATGTCATTTTCTCTTTATTCCTCATTCTACAACTAAATATGATTCTGGTTAGCAGAAACAAACCATTCAAGAAGCTCAATACTACTGTTTGTTTATTTATTTATTTGGGGGGTCCAATCGTGGGCCTGAACTCTGGGCCTGGGTGTTGTCCCTCAGCTCTTCAGCTCAAAGCTAGCACTCTACCACTTGAGCCACAGCACCACTTCCAGCTTTTTTCTTTTTTCTTATGTGGTGCTGAGGAATTGAACCCAGGGCCTCATGTATGCAAGGCAAGTGTTCTACCACTGAACCACCTTCCCAGCCCTTCAATACTACTTTTTAAATAGCAGACATTGTATGGATTTTGATATTTTTATGTTGCTTGCATGTTGCTGCTTCTTGTTACTTTATGATCCTTACTTTGGTCCTTATTTCTCAAAAAAAAACCAAGCAACTAGGACTCTTGGGAGTCTGTGAAATTGCACCAAATGAGAACCTGCCCCTGCATGTGCTCAATGCTTTTCTTCTAAGAGGCAGCTGCCTCTTCAGCATGTTTCCTTCAAATAAAGAAAGTCAGAGAAGGGAGAGTAAAAGGCAATAATGTGATAGAATAAAAACATCTGTGGCTTCCCTTTTAGCATTTATTAAGATGTGAGGTGGTACCACTGGTCAAATTGAATGTACTGAGAAATGTAGAAATCTCTGTTTTTGAATCCTACTGAACACATGAAAACAGTTGGGAATAAAACAACTCTAAAATTATACTACAACCAAGAGATTCTAAAGATTCCCTGGTGTCACTTATCTAATTTTATGAGTGATATAATTCTTCGCTTTTTACCCTTAAATCTCTTTTTTCGTCATAGATTGACCTGGTCATTTCTTTGGAGTCTTTTCTGGTTGATTCAAATCAGTGTCTGCATCTCCAGAGTTTTCATAGCAACACACTTCCCTCATCAAGTTATTCTGGGAGTCATTGGTGGTAAATATGGTCACTTATCTTTAGTTGTATCCTTTGAAAGCTTTGCCTCATTTATCTTAGGGTGTCAGATGCTCTCTGGTAATCAGTTTTCCAAGTTCAGCAGTATCTACCAAGCTAAATACTAAATGTTGTCCTGGGAGCTTAATACAAATGTCCTGGGAGCTTAAGTGGGTCAACACATGACTGTAGCCCCCATGGACAATAGCAGACTTAGTGGTGTAAATGCATAAATGCACCATGAGGTGGATTGTTTTTTTTTAAATTGTGAATAGAACCAAGTCCAGTTTTCAATGCATCACGTCAAACCCTGTGCTTATGAAACATGCAACATGCTAGGCTTACCCCTGAGCCACATTACCAACCTGAGGTGATTATTGCAGGAATGGACTTCATGGAGCATTGAGCAGCATTGAATTTCCAGTGCTCCGTCCCATGTACATTTCAAATGCTCTCTAAGAAAATTGGCCATGGCATTTGAAATATTAATGGCAAGCATCTAGATTAGGGCTGTGCCTGACTGATTCTTCTGGGCTAATATGCATAGTTAAAAGACTATGGAGCAAATGGGTGGTTTCAGTTCATGCCAGTAAAAGGCTTTCATCGAACCTAGATGTCTAAAGCCGTTTGTCAATGGAAAACTACAGCTAAATTCTTCCCTAAGGCAGAGAAAGGATTCCCGAGGAGCTTTAACAGTACAGGTGTTTCCAATCCCCAGGCATGCTGGTGGCAGAAGCCTTTGAGCACACTCCGGGTATTCACACGGCCAGCCTGAGCACATACCTGAAGACCAACCTCTTCCTCTTCGTGTTTGCACTTGGCTTCTATCTGCTTCTCAGACTGCTCGACATCGATTTGCTATGGTCTGTGCCCATAGCTAAGAAGTGGTGTGCCAACCCGGACTGGATCCATATTGACACTACACCTTTTGCCGGACTTGTGAGAAACCTTGGGATCCTCTTTGGCTTGGGTTTTGCAATCAACTCGGAGATGTTTCTTATCAGCTGCCGAGGGGAAAATGGCTACAAACTGAGCTTCCGGTTGCTCTGTGCCGTGACCTCATTGACCACGTTGCAGCTGTACCATTTCATCAAGATCCCCACCCATACAGAGCATTTATTTTATGTGCTATCTTTCTGTAAAAGTGCATCAATCCCACTGACAGTGGTGGCTCTGATTCCCTACTGTATACATATGTTAATGAAACCGAGTGAAAAGAAGATTAAATAGAGTTGTGCAAAGTTAGGGCTCTGTGGTCCTAGAATCACCCTGGTCCTCTGTCCCCCAGCAGAACCACAGAGCCGGGAGACACTCTGGGGTGCATCTCAGGAGAGGTTTGCAACAAGGTGGCACCCACCCACACTTAGTTTAGTCTTTACAATGGCTTTTTGTCATTGCTGTTTTATAATTAGGTGTCAACATTTCAAACACAGAATATTTGATTTAAGAAAACTGTGAAATTTCTGTGCTTTCTTGAAAAACTTGATGATGTAACAATATGGAAGTTGCATTCCACAATTTAAAGACTATTGCCTGGGGCTGAATGCTGATTGCATCCAATAGTCAAGGAGGAATCTCCATTTTTTCAGTGTCTTCAGCATCTCATTATGAACCCCAATGACAGACACCTTTATTTTCTTAAGACGTGGGTGCTTTTAGTTTGTGTGGGCATTTGAATGGTGATGCTGATCAAATCCAGTTCCCTTAAATTACAGATAAGCAAGTGGGGTTCCCTTCAGGTTATGCTATGTTAGAAAAAGAATTAGAGCACTATCCTTCTGGTACATATTTCCATGACAGTGTTCTCTGTTCCTCCATTTTAAGTTAGAGTAAATACTTCTGTGTAGTCTATGATTTCCATTTAAGGCCTCCATTTTCCCAGACATTGAAATGCCACATCCAGTTTCTCTTGTGCTCTCCTGGGCCAGCAGTGGCCATAGATATTAATACACAAGAAGATCTAGCACAAACTCAGACCAAGTTCTAGTCTACACATGAACAGAAGTACTTGTAGATATGTCAATCATTCCTACTATAGATCCTCTGATAAAACAATATCACCCACCCCAAAGTCTAGCTCTTCATTATGATGTCTCCATATTTTAATTTTAGGAGACAATGTTTCAAAACAAGGGGGAGGGAATTAAGGAAGACTTATCAAATACATACACACACACATACTAAACTAGAATGAAGCCTACAACTGTACCTTAGAAAAATAATTCTAGACTAAATGAGATTACACTAACAATTTCTCAGTAAGGGTTGTAGTTTTCCTCATTGAAATTCTGGGCTTAAAGTTGATAACTGTAATATCAAACAAACAAAAAGAATTCGAGTCTGATTTTTGCCACATGTTACTGACCTGAGCTTCACCATGATGTTTTATGTAAGCCTTCTTAAGAATGTCAGTGCCTGAATTATTTTAGATACAAAAGAGTTTATAAATATTTATGAAAACAGAACAGTTCAAGGGGATAAGATGGTATTTGACAAGATATTCATTGTGGAAAACAAAACCTCTAAAACCCAAAGAAATCATTGGCCCCTTTCCAAGTATAGTGATAGAATATGTGCTCTTATTTTTTTAGAGATAGCCTTCTTTCGAAAGGTAATTGATGACTAAGCAAAAAGCTGAGGAATGAAGATTTTCTTAAGTAAATTTGTCTCATGTTGATGACACAATTAGGATGGAAGAAGAAGAAGTCTTCTTCATTTCCTTAGTGTCTTCTTATTGCTGTACCATTGGAAAGTTCCTCTAGTCCTTGGACTCTTTATGATACATTTGCTCCTTTACATCTCCTGCATACATAGAAGGCCTGACTTTCTTTATGAGCCCTCTTTCAAAGTTTCTCCAAACTTGGTAATATTCATCTGAACAATCCTCTATTCTAGTACATTCTCAGTCTGTTCTCAACAAGTCCTGAGGGGCATTCAAACCAGAGAACTCTGCTGCGAGGCTTGACAATTGCAAATCCCTTCTTAGTTTCCATAGAGAAGCTCTGTTCAGCTACCTCACATGGGTCTGTTGAATCACGTGAGTTTCTCAGAGGGGAAATAGGATAAAGAATGAGCTCATTTTTCTATAATTAATCCCCAACACTGGTAGCCCTATCAGTTGTAGAGCCTGAGTTCCCAGTAAGGAGATTTTTTTCTTGGTACTTTAGATGCAATCTCCTGGAGGGATCCATATGGTCGCAAACTGCTTTTGTGATTGAAACTGCTTAGGCAGCAAGAAAAATAGCTTCACAAGTCTTGGAGAAAATCTTTGCCTGCAATAATGATGAAGAAGATTATTTTCCTTCCAATTTATTTGTCAGAAGGAAGTGAAATTGAGCTCATTTGACTTACTGTTACCATATCCATTTAAATGTGTACCTATCTACATATGTAAGAGAAAAGTGTCAATAGCCTTCAGGATGACAAAAATCTGACTAGAGAAACTGTCCAATCATGCATATATTTGAAAAGAAATGCAAGGGAATGTATTCTGGCTGAAACCAGTCATCAAGAAGAACGTGTAATCCTTGTTACAAGATGCTCTGGAAACTCAAATTGATATCTCTAACTAGAATATATTCAAAATTTGTAAATAGGTTTATTTACAAGTTGGTTTATAAAGTATGGTTCATTTCTTTGGTTATATTATCTTATCTTTCCTAGCCATTTTTATTGAACTTTCACAGTGATGGGGATGTTGCATATTTTTTGCTATTCAGTACAGTAGCCACTAGGAATCTCTTGAAATACAGCTAATGCAACCAGTGGACTGCATTTATTAAACTTTATCTACAATCACTTTGTATGTGTGTATGTTGGTACTGGGCCTAGCTTTGGGCCTAGCTCTCTCACTCAGAGTTTTGCTCAAGGCTGCTGCTCTAACATTTGAGCCACAGCTCCATTTCCAGCTATTTTTTTTCTAGTTAATTTGGGGGTAAGAGTCTGACAGACTTTTCTGCCAAGATTGGCTTTGACCCAGGATCTACTCTTTTCAGCCTTTTGAATAGCTTGGATTACAGCTGTGAGCTACTGTGCCTGGCTTACGTTTACTTTAAGTTTAAAGTCCAATAGCCATGTGTGTCTAGTAGATGCTAAATTGGGCATTACAAATCTAATCCCACAGTGCTTTTCGTTGAAGACAAAATAATTATTTATATAAAAACAATTATTTATATTGTCACGTATTCCACATTCCTGCAAGATAGTGGTTGTAAGGTTTGCCCAAAGGAGACTGTGTCATAGTTGTTCAGGAAAGTTCATTTAGGAGAACCGAACCACTGGTCCTCCTGAGATGGAGGTGTGCAGAGAGGTGACTTATGGCAGGGAGAAAAGTTATATAGGGAGAGAGCAGGGAGGAGATGTGGCTGCAGTGGATGCAGAAGTGACCTTGGAAGTGACCTTAGAGCCTGGGGGACCTCCCATTTCCCCCACATGCTCCAGTTATCTGGGTTACAGGTGCTGGGTGGGGACTTCTAGAGAGGGCCAGATGTAGTTCCTCACAAGAGAAAACAAAAAGGAAGGGGCCATTTTTCCCAGGCAGACCTAACAGTGGGGATCTAAAATACCAGGAGAATAGTGGCTTCTGTTGCATCTTCAAGAGAGACCTCCAGCAGATCTGGGATCCTCTGTGCTCCCTTCACTCTGCCTGGGATTGACCCCCACTGCATCATGCCCTTGAAAACTAAGGGACCCAACACTGAGTGAAATTTTATTCAATATTAATGACCACATTTTGGACGACTGGATGATCTTACCAAATTCTCCTGTTTTCCTGGGTTTTATGTATCTGTATGCCTCACACCAATATTTTTAGGAATAATCACATAAGCATGGCTCGTGTCTAACTGCCACTGAGGTCCTCATTGATGACCTGTCTTGGCTACCCTGGAAACTACAAATGCCTTCCTGGGTGAATGTCTGGTCCACCGTGTTGCTAAGAAAATAAAGTGATATTGTCAGCTTTTTTTTTCTTCTCTTTATCTTTAGTACTTGATAGGATGATTTCACTCTATAGTAAGAGTTGTGACTCTCATTAATTTCTTTTTTTTGGGGGGGTGTCCAGTCGTGGGGCCAGAACTCTGGGTCTAGGCACTGTCCCTCAGCTCTTCAGCTCAAGGCTAGCACTCTACCATTTGAGCCACAATGCCACTTCCGGCTTTTTTCTTTTTGCTTATGTGGTGCTGAGGAATCGAACCCAGGGCCTCAGGCATGCAAGGCAAACACTCTACCACTCTATCTTCCCAGCCCCTCTCATTAATTTCTTTATGTCTTCATTTTGTTTTTCTTTTTTTACAAAAAAGAGTTCACAGTGTGGTAACGGTTTATAAAACAACAAATTCCAGAAACCCCTGCCCAAAGACAGAAAGTCATTAAACTAAGAATTAGACGTGTTTCATTTTCAGCTTTCCAAAGGGCAGCAGCAGTCGATGTCGAATTTAAGACTGCTTTGTGTAGAGTACTAATTAATGTCTTTGCTGTCCTTTGATGAGATCGCAGTAATGATTTATTAGTCACATTTCATTTCTTATGCTAGCTCAGAAGTGATTGCTCCAGAGGAGAGAGAAAATTCAAAAATTGAGGTTATAAAGGTTAGTGTGAACCCAATTAATTGTCTTCTGCTTTGAATTCTTTAATTTCTTAGAATCTTTTCCTCTAACATTTTGCCATGTTGTTTCTGAAGAGAAGCTGTCTTCTGTTCAAAACCCGTGATGTTTCTCCAAAAGATGTATGCTCTAAGAGCACACTGCAGCTGCTGTGGTCCAACTGCATTGGGCTTGAGACCACACTCAAGGGCTACCCAGAGGAGCATTGGCTTTAATCAAACACTAGTCCACCTCAGCTAACTCCTTCTCTGGGACTACATAGGCAGCATGCAGGAAGAGCTGGTGACATGTGCCTGGGAAAGTTACCCAGCCTCAATGAAGAAAAACTCCCCCTTCTCCTCTCATCTTCCCTGTACATTATGGGGTCAGTCATACTCTGACTCTTCCCAAGCCAAGACTGGCTTTTCAAGGACTCAGGCTTTGTTCTATGAACACTATTGGTCAGGCCATTATTTCTGCCTGCATATTTGGCTTCACTAGAAACAATTACTTCACATATACTGTTTTCATTAGAAAGAGTTGCCTCACAGATGACTGGTAAGCCTGGCTTCCCAGCCACTTGGGAAGCAGAGTTAGGGTAACAATCCTGGCCCAATCCAGACAAAGGAGAAGGTCCATTCTGAAAAATAAACTAAAAGCAAAAGGACCTGAGCCTGGCCCAAGTAGTAAGGTGCTTGCCTAACA